TATGAAGAGGCCATGGCTTCATAGTATTTTGTTTCTGTTATTGTTACCTGCAGAATTGGAAGCTAGCAGTAGCTATTGCTATTGATTGATAGCATTGTTTATTTGTGTTATATGATCTACGGATATGAGTATATTCGTTAGCGTTGAAAGATGTTTTTGTTTGACCCAACAGAGTTGTGCCATGCGCCCATGCATCGCATGTTCGGAAATACCGTGGAACTGTAGTCTGCTTAAATGGTCCCACAAACCACTATAGGTTAGGGGATGGTTCTTCGACATGTAAATCCGGGGGATTGACAGGAGAAGGTTTTACTGATGGTCGGCCATTTTGTTTTCAATATCAGAAGCAGTCTCACGACCGATTGACTAAATGAAAGCTTCCAGTCGACGTTCTAAGCGCAGTAATCAATCAATCAAGTTTATTGGTCTGTGGCATGTCAGATAATACTACAGTTACTACAGTACTTGTAGCTATGGGGCAAGACAGAAGTAAACTTGAAGCAGAAGCGAATGTAGAAGGGCAAGAAAAAAAGTCACCGTTAAAATTCTGTCATATGTTATGCAGCCTTGACTTATACAAAAAGATGAATGGTATTCTCACATTTGGTGCTGTGGTATTAAAATTTGAATAGAAATTTTTTAAATAATATCCCAGAGCTTATATTTTCCCGTTAATTATCAGAACACTCCTATGCTGACACGGTGTCCTTGGCCATTGGCATGTGATGCCATGTCGCAATATTCAGCATGAAGTTGCAAATTGCACACAGATATCCCTTACTTTGATATTAAGTCGTCTGTAAGCTTTATTTATTTTAATTTTATTGCAATCGTTGCGCTTTATTTTATAAACTAAATATGGGGCTTCCCTATAGACCCTCAGAAATAATCTCATTCGAAACATGAAGATGAAGTGAAATTACGGACAATTACGGGTCTGCTTTCTCGCTGTTTGTTTAGTTTAAAGTCATCAGGTAAAAATTTTGACGATAAGTCTTGTGACTTATGTTAATTTCTTTTTTGGAGGCCTTCGTTTTTCAGTGTAGCGCATGATAGCATGTTCTTCGCTATGTTCCTAAATAATGCAGGTTGAACACAGGAGTTTAGGCGAAGATATCTATTGTAATGGGTAGATTTAAGGTTCACTGAAATTCATCCTCCATAACTCCGCCATGGCCGGTCCCAAGCCAGGATGAGAAAGGAGGAGGGTTGGAGACCGTGGCAAGTCTCCGTAAAATTCAGCCACCTGCCACTCA